AACTGTTTCTCTTCCCTTCCATTCAGCTAATCAGCTTCTCCAGCAAGCAGTTTTTAATTCAAAATCTCGTTTCATCACAATTTTTCCCTCCACGACATTTCATCATCTCCATCATTTGATATTCTCAGAGAACCCAGGGGAGGGATCTGGCCAGATGCCCAGACCCACAGGAATGAGGGGCTCCCTCGGGACTCGGCCACCTTCTGCGTGCTGATGTCATTATTTGCTCTCCACTGAGGATGACTTTTCCGGGTCTTCCTGGTCTATGTGGAAGGAGTGTGGCTGCCAGTAGCCATTGACTTTTACATCCCACCATCCAGATGACTGAAGAGAGACTGTGACTCTCTTCTCAGTTTCATGCACCCTGAGGAAGACTCAGGTCCCTTCTTAGACCAGGTGCCACAAGCCTGGATATTCAGCTGAGGCTGGTGTGTGTGCGTGTGCGTGTGTGTTACTGTGTCAAGTCTTATTGCGGATGCAACTTTGTGGGTGACGTCTAGAGTCTAGAACCGCATTGTCTGATACAGCTGCCACTATTCACATGTGGCTATTTGCATTCAAATGTAAAATAATTAAAGTTAAGTACAATTAAAAAGTCTTGAGCCATACCAGTCACATCTCAAGGGCTTAGTAGCCACGTGTAGCTAGTGGCCACAGTGCTGGACAGGGCAGACACAGGACACTTCTGTCATCACAAATTCCTATTGCATAGTGCCACTGCAGATAAAGTGGCTTTTCCCAGAAAAGGCGTGGAGGTGGGGGTAGGGAGGGGTGCTTCTGGGCAGTTAAATCAGTAGATTTCTCCAACATCTTCTCTGCAATACTTGCTAAAACTTGCCCAGTCCCCTTGGAACAGTTTCTTCCTCTGGCACTCAGGATATTTTTACTCTTGCAACTGCCCTGTGATCCCTTTTCTCCTCAATCTTTACCCTCCTCTGCATGACTCAGCCATTTCTGGGGATTTTAATAGCTACACGTTGATGACTCCTAAATTTACAGCTTTTCCCCAGACCCCTCTTTTGCGCATCAGTCCCACAGATCTAACTAATATTGTCAACTGGGTATGTCAAAGATCATTTGGCATTAATGTCTGACATTGAATTCTTGATGTACAGATTTCCTCCTCTGCCCCCATCTCCAGCCTCAATAAATGACATCTCTAACTGCCCAGCCTGTTATATCAGAAGCTTTGGAAAAATCCTTGACATCTTCCTTCACCTCCCTCAACACCCAATTCATCACCACCTCTGGTCAATTACATTCAAAATATTTCTGTAATCTAGTCATGCTTCCCCCCGCCCCCCAACTTCTCATGGCATGTGCTCCTTTCACTTTCCCCCTGGTTAATATTTACTTAATATTTATTCAACTTTCCATTTCTGCTTCAGCCATCTTCTTAAGGACTCCCTCCCTGCACCCGATCGAAATTCTGCCTTTTAATGTCATCCCACACTATGCTTCTCTTTTCACAAATACAGTGGATGATTTATTAATTCCTTGTTTAATATCTACCCTTCCTTCTCTAGTTTGATAAGAGCAGGAAACGTGGCTGTTTTATTGTTCTCTAAATCTATTAGTCTGGCACTCACTGGGAGCTCGTTAGCCCTCGGAAGTATTCATCAAGTTTTTGGGACACGCATCTGTGAGCTTTTTTCCTTCTTCTCTATGGTTATGGCTGTCCTTCAGGCTCTGTCTTTATCTTCTCGTGGTCTCAGCTCTGCCCCTCTAAGAATGGGTCCCAGTCGACATTACAAGCCCTGGCTCTTCCAGGAGGCATGATCTCTCGTCTCAGAATTAGCTTCCCCTTCCTGCCTCCCTAGTTTTCTGAGAGGAATACTCTCAAAATTCCAACCCGCATGTCCCCTTCTTCCAGCACACCACCCAGCCTGCCCTGCCCTCCCGCCCACTCTAAGACCCCTGAACCCTCTTGCTAACCTCTCTTGCGGTCTTAGTCCCTGCAAACAGCATCTCCTGGGGGCTTTCAGTGCACAACCACAGGGGGTCCACTCGCTTTCCTGTCTTGGCGGTCTCACTTTTGTCCTCACGCCTCACCTCTAGGACGTTAAGAGCTTCCTAATTTGAATCCCCACCATTGTCCTTCCTGCAGATTGGCACTTTCCAAAACACGGAATTGCAGAATTCTTCTGTTGGAAGGACCTATGGAACATGTTACCATTCTGATTTCGTAAAGCAGGAAACATAGGTCCAGAAAGAGGCAGAGCTGTCACTGTACTTAAGGTCTTCTAATTTTCTCTCTGATGCGATGACACTTGCAGCCCCCACGGTGCTCAGAAGCCCTCACGGCTGCTTCTCCCACGTGTGAAAGACAAAACTCTTTGCTAACCATCCACAGACAACGTTGCATAACTGGGGACTTATCTACCATTTCAAACATACCGCCAATCTTTTCCCTATATAGATTCCTTTCCTTTCTACCACTTTCTTCTCTAGTCTTTGAACTGCACACATTTACCATATATATATATATATATTATATATATACACATACTTTTTTTTTTTGCTGGGAGGATCTTTGTTTCTCTGTTTATCTTGCCTAGAAAATCTTTCTCTAGTTTTATCCTCTGTGAATCTCATGTTTTGAAGCCCAAAGCATCCCTGATACATGTGCTTTAAAACATTTTGTTGTTGAATAAATGAATGAAACATTTAAATTCATCAATTTCCCCCATATTGACTATGGCTAAATTTCCTCTGATAGAAGTCAATAAATATCCACCACCACATTCTGAAGTTTACACCACAAAGGACAATACTGGGAAATATTTACTTGATGTGTTCAGTTCTCAAAATGCAGTGATTTCTTGGCAGTTGGCAATTTTAGCCTCTTAATTGTTCATTTGAGAAACCATGAATTTGATCTCCTCATTTCCTCAAATGACCCCACCTCCTGTGCCTTCCCAAAGGACACTTCCATCCTGATTTTCTCTGACTTGAAGACTGGTGGATAGAGGCTGGTGAGAAAGAGAAGGAATGTGGAAGTCACAAGGAGAAAAGAAAACCTAGAAGACACTAGAAGAAAATGAGTTTGTAACACTGCCTCAGAGATACAGATTAGAGAATGTGACCAGGGGACCTCAGTTCTTAAAAGAGAATTTGCATTGCAGGCATTATTGAAAATACAAATGGAATCCCAGAGTGATTTTTAACATTTGGTTCCTGGTCACTAAACCTGGAAACCAGTATCTAGGAGTTCAAAATAATTAGATAATCAAGTGCTTTTATTAGAAAATGAAGATTTCTTGGCTTGTAACTTGCTGCACTGAGTCCATAAGCCTTTAATTTATTATACACTCAGCTTCATTCTCTTCTAGTGTGATCTGCTAAAGAATTTTTAAAGCTTCTATAGAAATAACATTTATTTTAAAAAGGTACAAATTAACATGCAAATTCAGAACTGTAACATAAACTGCAGGCACGAAGTCTTAAATTAAGTGGTTAGTTGCTTATCCATTGTCGATGTCTAACTATGGTACTTGGGAGATATCCGTGTGTTATATTAAGTTTTAAAGGCCTGTGTAGTCTCTAAGTTGATCGTTAAAAAACAACAGAATTTAAGTGAACGTCAATAAAACCAGTGAATTATAAATAATCTCTTTTCAAGCATATTTGATCAAAGCTGTCAAGAAGCAAAATTGTATTTCCTAAGATTTCAGGCATGAATGCTAATCTGTGAATTTTAATTTCAAGTTCTACCAGAGGACGTTAGGAGAATATAAACAATTTGGACATCTGTTGAGTTGTTCTTGGAATAAAACTGGACAGACACATGTAAAAATCGAAGTTATGTAAATGACCTACTCTGCAGAGCATTATGTGATCCGTGCCCCCCGCTCTTCCCCCCACACTGTGACTCACACATTCGCTGGTATTTCCGATGGTAAAACTGATTCTTACCACAGGATAAATGTCTCTACTCCCTTTCCCCAAACAACCCAGAACCACTAAACTAAATAAAGTGGCAGAGTTTCGCCCAACACCGTGCAGCTGCCGTCTTGTCTTCAGTGGGATGGAGAATGAAAACTGAGCTACATGTTAAAGCAAAAGGTTTTTGGAGCAAGATGAGCTCTCTTTTTGCTTTGCCCCTGCCCCCAACAAGTCACACACCAAACACTATGGAAGCACAGCCCCAAAATGGTCCATAGAGTGGCAGACTTGTCACCATACCCAACGCCTTCTTCTAGCTCTCTCTCTGATGCACCATGAAACTTGCAGCCCCCGCCTGCTGGGAGGGAAAGCCGCCGACGCCCTCAGATCACGTCCTAGGAATCCTTACAAATGCCACCAGACTGACCATCTGCCTCAGCATGACTGGATACGGCCTATAACTTACTGACCATCTGCAAGTGCTCATGTGATGAGTGAAAACGACATAGGGCCTTCAAATCTATTATTTTAAAATACTTTGGACATTTGAATGTATCTTTTAGTTCAGGCATTACCTGGAGGGGGTTGTTTGTTTCCCAATAATGAAATAAACTCATATTGCTTAAAAAAAACCAAAAAACTGTGCTGGTGACACACACCCGCCAGCTGGGGTGTCCATGTAGGTGGGAAGAGGTGAGAAGGTGGACCTAAGGGAACTGTGTCTGTCTTATTACTGATTTCAGGCTCACAAGGAAGAGAAAGTCTGTCAACTCTCTGAAGCAAGGAATGTCAGAAGAGAATATCTCATAATGAAAGAATATCTTTCATTATTCAGTGGGGGGGGGTGGCGGCGGTGGCGGGGGGTGCAACAAACAGTCAAAGGGCAACCACAGCAGCAAGGAAACAAAATCCAAGTCCTGCCTCACTTCCGGTTTCCTGCGGCTTTCAGGACGGAGACAGAGTCACGGCTTGCTGCCAAGGACCGATGTTCTAAAAACAGGCTCCCCCAGATCAGCCCATCTGGTCACTCCGAATAGCCCTGTGCTTTGGGGGAAGTAAGTTTGTAACGCTGTACACCTTTGAAAACTGCAGTAGAATACGAAATAGTGGAGTCGTTTTGTTCATAAGCAATATTTATTTTTCATGAAGATAAGAGGAGTATTACATTTACTACAGAAAACGCTATGTGAGGAAAAAGCTGCATGTTACCGATACGACCAAAAAAAAAAAATAACCCACCAAAAACCAAAACACATAAAAAATTCCACTTACGAAAGTGTTCTGCCCTATTAGAACATATCAAATGGAAGGCATGATTCCAGGTGAGTGAGCCGTGCGGAAATGTGGATTTATTTGGCTTTGTTTTGAAATGTAATTTGTACGGCGGGCTTTTTATTCCTTTGATGGCAATGAAACAGATTTATTGGCTACACGTTGGAAGGGCAAGAGATAACAGATAACCAAGGGAGAAGTTTTAATAAAATACTCAGGAAAAGAAAAAAGAAGTGAGTGAATATGCCTGCGTACATCTCAGCTAATAAATAAAAAGTACAGATAAGGCTTTAGCTGAAAACCATCCTGGTTATTGCAGCCTGGAAGGTTTATTGAAAGTTGGGTAGAATGCTCTATAATTTTTCATACTTAACAGCTGAACAAGCCAGAGGGACAGAACATACGTTTTGATTTTGGTACAGGAAGCCGATGTCCTCATAGGAAGCCTGCAAGTGGCCGTGGAAGGGGAAGGGTAGTTCTTGACTGTTGAGTGTCTGCCTCAGCTATTTCTGATCGTGCTCTGAGATTCTGGACAACAGAACAATTAGAGTGGGGTTTATTTTTAAGAGTCATCCCCTGAGGGGAAAACTGGACACTGGTAGGGAATTTTTGAAAGCACGTCTTCAGCAAGCACCAGCCTTTCATCTCAAAGAGCCGAGCAGAAATGAGCTCCCGGGGAGAGTCGTGAACCTGGTCCTGAAAGCACCTGCCCAGAAATCCAAGTAGACTTAGGCCACTCATCTGACACTGGGACTTCATGAACCCGGGTCCCAGACCCCGCACTCAGCTTGGTTGTAGTCGGCAGGGCCTGGACTCAGGGAAGCATCTGGCTCTCCTTTTTTCTTTCAGAGTAGGAAGAAAAATGTCATTCTCTCTGAGCAGCTCCTGAGCTATTTCGATTTCAGTGATGCTCTCTGAAGAGTCTGGCTTTGGAGAAGGGCGGATCACTTCCCATGCCTGGAGTCTACCTCTAAAGTTGTAACAGACTCTAAGGGGCCAGGGAGGAAAAATCACTCTAAGTACCAACTACTGCCACCACTGTAAAACCAGCTTCCTAGTGGGAGGAAAGGGCCAAACTTGCGTCCCCACGATCTGCAGCGTGGCTTCTAGAACAAGCTCCATAGATTTGGAAAGAACCAGAGACCTCAGCTCTCGTTTCACTTAGTTCAGAAACCGGAATTCATCTGAACTGGATGTTGAGCATCTGATTAGGAATTTACATCAATATAGGTGGGTTGTTTTAATACACAAACATTTATAGCGTATAAATAATCCATGATGGCTTGTCAAATATAAAAGGCCATTGTAAATCTGTCTGCATATGGGAGACAGGCCCACAAAAAAGCAAGATACATAAAATTAATCGGCATGGTTTGGAGAGTTTGAATCCATTATGAAATAAGGTCTCTAATCAAGCATTCCATCTGACTCTCAGTTACGTTAATATTTCAGTGCTCACTCTGTGACTTTCACCTGCCCGAATTTTTCAACGAACACAATTTTGAAAGGCTCGTACAGAGTCCCCATGCCACTCTCCCAAGAAGTTACTTTGGTGGAGAGGTTTCTGAAAAGCAACAATTCAAAGTTCTGCTGCAGCTTATAAACTGTCTCTCATAGGATTATAATAATAAACCTTGTGAGAGAGTGTTTTTGAGACAGGTGGTAATGAATTTGCATGCCTCAGCAAGATGCATAAAATGAAGACTTCATGACTTTATTTCGAAAGCACCTATATTATTATGGCATGCATTGGAGACAGGTAGTTATAATCTACACAGGGAAGCATGCACGTAGTACATCTCACGGGAAAAATGCGCAAGAATGTGCCTTTTGCCAGACACCACGTTTTTCCTTTTTTATAATTAAGATGTATACATGAAAAAAGCTCATCTATTGATTCTTAATATACAAGGTCCTTTCTTTAAAAGAGCAAGATTTGAACTTGTTTTGTGATTCAAAACATCGAAATAAACAAATGAAGCTTCCAAATCTTCCAAAGACACGTTTTCGTGTATTTACATCCCTTATTTTGTCAGATTTTAAGGGGCTAAATAACTCAACCATATGTGAGCTCTGGCACACCTGGTGATATATGATGAATAAACCATTTGTTCTATTTACACATAGATGTGGAGATATATATATATATATATATATATATATATATATATATAGTATATATATATATATGTGTGTGTAATATATATATATATATATATATATATATATTATATATATATATAAAGTGTGTGTGTGTGTATATATATATATATATATATATATATATATATTCTCAGACACTATTATTAGATGTAATCTTATATTCTCGGATACAGAGATGGACGATATACCTTTCTACTTGCCGTGGCACTAACAAAGCTAGGCTGGAACTCAGCAGCCACTTGCGTTCATTGCTTTGCAGGCTAATAGTAAGTTCGGCTGCCGGTGGGAAAGGGACCTCTTACCACACCCTCCTTAAAATAAAGATTCTGTTGTGCTTAATGCAGGTACGTGCTCGTTCTTTCATCGAGGTGGTCTTGAGCTGCAGATACAATCGCACCGCTCATGGTGATCCAACTGGATGTCAACGAGCGCCATGTGCTTGGCTCTGCCCCTCCTCTTGAAATGGCCAGGCTCAAACTTTAACACCTAGGACAAGAAGCACATCTCCTGTTAGAAAGCCTCTGGTGCGTAACTCGACTACACACTACTTACTTTCTTTATGACAACTGGTCTTTAAGCCTTTGAAGAGCCAGCGAAAGCTATGGGCTTGCTAAGAGAATGCACACATGTAAGTATTGTTGCAGACAACCATTAACTCCTTGAAGTAATGGAGTCCACTGATCACAGAGTAACGCCCCCTGCATGGCCTACCTGCAGCAGCAGGGTGGCCTTGGGTGTCCTAGCAGGCACTTATCGATAGCTGTCTAAGGGCCTGTTTTGTGACAGGTGCTGTCCCAAATATTGCCAGAAGGGTTCTTCTCCAAAGCATGTGCCACAGAGAAATAAAATACCGAGCATATTATTACCTCTGTAGACAGGAGGACAAATAAAGTCATGAACCCAATGTGTTGGTAGATGTAAAAAAGGATTTTACCCTGATGAAGGGCATTCTGGCCGTAAATCACTGAAAATGTGTTTATGTTCTTATGTCCTTACATAACATACATAACATATTATGTTAAGATATAACACCTTTCACAGTTCAAAACAGATCAAGCTCCACTGAAACCCTTTTACATTAATGCCTGTCTATCAATACAACATATTCAGTTATCTATACACACATATTTATTTTTTCTCTTTAGATTCTTTTCCATTATATGATTATAAGAAATTGAATATAGTTCCTTGTGCTACACATTAGGTCCTCGCTGTTTATTTTCATATAGTAATGTGTGTCTGTTAATAATACATTTCTTAAGTTCATAAAATACATCTTTAATTTTTGAATTAATAAGGTTAAACACAATTTTTCAAATTATTAAATTTAAAGCTCACCCTTCTTCCCAAGTGTGACCTTGACTAGAGTCAAACATCACATTTTACG